ATCAGGGCCAGGTGCAAACGATTAAGGTAAAAAGGACTCAGGTGCTTTGCACTGGCTGAGGCTGCCTCAGGTGAGGCTGGGAGACACAGCAGGAGTGGAGTGGGCAGTGTTTCTCCTTGTCAAGCAGCCCAGAGGTGGCAGGACGTGTGCCACAGCCAGAGGCAGCACCCTGCTGGCACGGTGTGACAGGCAGCTCTAGCCCTCACTCTGCTGAGGGCCACATCTTCAGGAGAGCCTCAGTGCTGTGGCTTTCACCATCAGCTGGGACAGCTGGTGGCCCTGAACCAACACCTCTGTAGCCCCCCTCAGGGCTGTCTGTCCTATGGACAGAAAGCAGTATCTGGGGGGAAAAGGGGCCTTCTGGTTTGCTGTACATTTTTGTATTTTGCTTCAAGATTAGTGAGGTTTCTATTTCCCTTCTTAAATCCCATTTACCTCACTCAGTGTAATCAGGCACAAGTGGAATGAAGTTAGTACTCGTGCACCACTTCACAGCATTCAAAAATGATTCAATAAACAGTGTAACAAGCACATGCATTGTGCAGTTGGCAATTATAACCATAAAGGAAGGACCATCCATACCCTCATATCTGGGTGGATTATTAAAAATCACAATTCAGCTTGTTGAACTCATCACAGCTCCACTGGTTTCAAAGCCTGCACACAAAGAGAATTGCACTTCTCAGTTCCAAAAGTCCCAGTTTTAAATAGCTGTGTTTCCTGTAAACAAGCAATAGCCCCCAAAAGCATAACCTTGTTAAAAGTGTGGATTAAACCAGGACTTTAATCTGCACTCACCTAAGGATTAGTTGTCAGAGTATATGGCTAAAATCATATGGGGAAGTGCAAGTAAATGACATTGTGTGCTAATATACTGGTGTCTTGCTACTGTGTTTTTGTGCTCACAGAACAGTTGGCCAAAGAAACGGGACTGCAGCACCACACAGCACCTCACATCTCTCAGTTAAGCCTGTGCCCTGCTTTGTGGGACCTCTGTCCTTTCTTAATTCGGCTTTCAGGCAGGTTTTTAAAATGGTTCCCAAATTCAGGGCACATGCACAGAAGGAGAATTAAAATCCAATTATAGTTTATTTTACTAAATCAGGATTGTTTTAAATTAAAAATTGGAGTTTAATCCTTATCTGCTGTCTGTGTCATAGGAACATACAGAAAGCTGTTTCTATGTCTTCTTTCCTCTGTATAATATAGATTGAATGGCTGTAGTCCTCCTTCCTCTGTGTCCAATACCTTTGTGACTTTCTTGGGCAGAGCTTTCCTCTCATGAAAGCTGAGCTGGGCCTAAAATTCCCATTGGCAAGTTTTCTGGAGGCCTCAGACCAGTCCTACCTCCAGAGGAGATGACAACCCTCAGAGATGTGGCTGTGTTGTGACTACTTCTCCTTTGCATAGAGGATAATAGATGCTGAAGTCTGGCATTGCAGGAAATGACACATTTATAGCACAGCTGAGAGAAGGGCCCAGCCAAGGCAGGTGGAGCTGGGGGGTAGCAGTGGAACCCAGACTCACCAAATATTTAAGCCCTGGTTGCTCTTTAAGCAACTAGTCAGGAATCAGGGACCTTTGGGGATCTGGCTCTGCACATCTAAAAGCGGGATCAGGAAATCATAAACCCTTGGAGATGGGACTCATCTCCAAGGGTTTATGTTACAATTGTATTTTAAATATCTCTATTTTTGAACATAAGCCTCAGAGAAATCTTGGCTTGGCCTAAACTGGAGCACCCGATCACAGACAGCTCCTCAAAAAAGCCCACAGCCTGACTGTGTATCTAGAGATCCTGAGCATGCAGGGGAAAATTAGGCCCAGCCATTCCCTCAAATTTAATCAGAAGCAGCCTGGGGCACAGAGATGCAAGTGCTGTTGATGGTCAAAATTCAGAGTTACATAAAGAGCAGTGAATGACAGAAGGCAATTAGGAGTTCTGCATAAAGGGCTCCATCCTCAGACTGTTCTCATTGCAGACTGGGGTATGCCTCAGCACCTCAGCCTGGGAGCAGGCAGAAATTGGAGAGGCTGGAAACGTTCAGTGCCAAAGCAGGTACATTTTCTCTCTCTTGTTTGCTCTATGCTTAGTTCAGTTTCTTTCCCAGCCACATACTTGAGGCCAGGATGAGCAGCATTTGGATAAATATTTCCCTCTCTGCTGAAAAAGGAGTAAAAGGAAAAAAAGGAAATGTCTGAGGAAAGTGGAGAGAATCAAGGCAGTGTCTGTGTTACAACTGCCTCTAAGACAGCCCAGGAAATAACATCCAGGATCTGGTGGCAGTGTCAGCATTTTGGTGTTCCCCTCACTTGGCTGCCTCACAGCCCAGCTTTGCAGCACACAGGGGTGTGAGCTGGAGGCTGGAGGTGATGCTGTGAGCAGCCAGGAAGCTCCCACTGCCCACAGCTCTCAAACCATGGACAAAGCAGGGGCTGTTCTTTGCCCCCTTAACCTGCTGCAGGCTCTGCCTGTCCTGCCCTTCTCCAGTTCCTGGCCAGTAACATGGGAGCACACATCCTGCTGCTGTCATGCAGGAGAGCATGCTCTTGCCTCATTATTCATGGGCTGTGCCCACAGGTACTGCTTGTTAAGCCTGCTGAATATTTGCCTGAATAATTAAGAAGGAGCTGAATCATTCTTAGACAAAATTCCGGTTTTCTCTCTCCTCCTACTTCATTTATAGGCTTCCCTTCTCACATATCCCCTGTACACAGTGTGAAATGACTGTTCAAATAGTACCAGATAGAGTCAATAAACTCCCCATGTGCTTTTTCTTTTTTTTTTTTTTTTTTTTTTTTTTCAGATTATCCTTAGAAGATGCTAAAGCATCAGTTAGAATTGCTCAGTGGCATTATTGCGACAGAAATCCCGGTGCTGCGGTGCAAAAGCCTGCCCCCCTCTGCATCTCCCAGGATAGAGGCAGCCACATTCCTGAACAGCACAGGGTCCATCCCTTCCTCCCTCGTTTCCAGAACGAAAGGTGGCTGTTCCTTCTAAGCTTATTGGACAATGTTTGTGATCTATTTCATGATTCTGCCCCTTGTTTTTTTATTAAACTCAGTGATTTCTGCTGCAGCAAAGCTGGAAAATGAATCTTAAATTGAACCCAGCTTTCTCACTGGAAAACTACCTCTTATCCTCCTCCCACTCCCTCTGCTTTCTCTTCCTTTTACCATTCCTTACATCTCTTTCCCCAAGTTATGCTGCATTTTATTTTGCCTTCACTGCATTTTCATCCCTGACTTTTGATGCACAGAGCCAAATTCATCCCTGCTGGTATCCAATGGACTGAAATTCTTCTCCGAGGCATTATTGGGCTGAATCCAAACCCAGCCAGCATTTTGCAGTGCTGGTGGCTTAGCCAAAACAACAGTTTATAATCTCTCTTTTCCTTCCCTTATCTACCGTTAATATGAATTATTAATAAGTACTAGTATTGCTGTCTCGAAAATCATACTTGTTTCTGGAGCACCTATCAGCCGAGCTGTCTGGCTGAGAATTCCTTTTTAACTTTCCGTGTGTGCCAGGAAGTTGGGCAGCCTGGATTCCAGAGCAGGGCTCGCTCTGGGATTCCACTTGCCATCCGCAGTGCACACCTCACCCGGGTGCTGGGCACAGTTAACCCCTGCAGGAGCCGGCCTGCAAAGCTTTGTTTTCCCAAACTGCCGCTCCTGACGCTAAATGCATTTCCCAATCAGGCTGCTGCTCCAGATCCCTCACCTGGAGGGGGTGTCTGCACAGTGTTAATCTCAGGCTGTGTTTACAGCCCGGGAACATGACAGGTTCTCTCCTTCCCTGCGGTTTCCGTGCGCACAGCTCATTAGATACTCTAATGCAGCAGGAAGCCCCTCTCGACTGAGAATTCCTTCTCGTATATTTAGCAAACTTTTGACTGCTTCCTTTCAAAAGAGACTGAAGGACATATTTTCGTAGGAAGAGGGTGAGACTCACAAAGCACGATCTACAGTCACGTTTTTCTGTGGGGAACTACAGAGCAGGGGAGGAGGAATCACCCGCAATTCTCTCTCCTTCTCCCCCGCGCCTCTCTCCCCTCCCCGTCCCTCCCCCACGCCCATACAACCATAACACAGGATGAACGCGCTCCAAAATACAGCTGCAAAGCCTTCCCTCTCTTCGGGTCTTCCTCGCCTTGGCAAGAGTGGGGGCAAGAAGAGAGGATGAGGATGGAATCATCCTGATGTGGAACTGATGCTTTGACTCTGCTACCCGCAGACTGTTCAGAAAAGCCTGCACGCACAAGTGTCAGAGTTAACCCAGCCAGGGCTCGCTCACTGCTCGTGGGAGAGGCTCAGACAGGGAACAGGGAGGCATCATCTCCTGGTCTGGATGGCTCCATAAATGAAAGCCCAGGCTTGTGGGGTGAAAGGGAAAGGATGGCTGAGGTTACGAAAGAGAGCATTGCGCTTCAACTGCAATCCCCAATGTTCATTAAGATCCCCATTAAGAGATAATTTTTACAAACATACACAGTTTTGTATGAAATGAAAGGATTTCCTCCCCATTAGAAATCACGCTGGAGACAGCTCCATTTGCTCCAAATTAGGTACGCTCGGAATGAATATTTTAATTAATTAATGATAAATAAGCCAGGCACTTTCCTCGAACTGAGTTACCGTTTCCTTCCTCAGCAGCAGTGGGATGTGCTCGCTGTGCTGTATGTTCATGTACTTGTCCAGGCTTTGTTTTTGATTTCTCTCTCTCATTTTTGAACGTGACCCTCAAATGATCAGTTACAACACATGTCCTTAACCATGGATTTCCTCGTGTTGGGCTGCTCCGACGTGGAAGAGGGGAGGGAGGAGGGGGAGAATAAACAGATTAACACACCCAGACCCCTGGCAGGATGTTCTGAGAAATAAAAAGAGGGGAGAGAAGGAAGAATTCACACATAAAAATAGAAGCCCACGTAGATTGGCCATATATGGAGTACCGGGGACTTCAGAGGGATACCCTCTTCGGACCACCCCTTTGGCAGAGGAAATCGCTGCTGCGGGAGGGCCCCTGCCCCCCTGCCCGGGCGGTTGGCCCGCAGCCGCCCCCAGCCCCCTGCCCCGACCCCGGCCCCGGGGAGGCGGCGGCGGGGCGGCTGCGGGAGGCGGCGGGGCCGGCTGCGGGAGCGGTGCGGCGGCGATGACTCAAACCCGCCCGGCCCGCTCTGCCCCCTCCCGCTCCCCCCGCCGGGGAGGGCTATTAAAAGCTGCTGACGTAGGAGCGGACGGCCATCTTTGATGAGGGCACGGCTCCCGATCCATTGAAGAAGGAGACCCGCGGAGGTCAGCAGCCTCCTGTCCTTGCCTCCCATCCAGCTGCGGCACCGACTCACCGACCCCGCCGCGCCGCGCTCCGCCAGCCCAGGTAAAGGTGGGACACACCGCGGGCACCGGCTCAACGCGGGGAGGGGGCCGTGTTGACGGTAATGAAATGGAGAAATAGGATATATTTAAAGTGAGACCCGTTCGGCTTTTTGTCTCCAGCCTCTGGGCTGCTGCGGGCGCAGAGAAAGGCAAGGAGAAGGGGGTGATTTCGCCGCCAGCCTCATGGCCGGCTGGAGCCAGGGACGCAGCCGGGCTTTGCCTCTCGGCCGTGCGGGCGGCAGGAGGCTGGCGGAGAAGACAATGTCGGAGGAGAAGGGGAACCAGCGCCATTCCCAGCTCCGAGCGGGGAGAAGCGTGTGCGGGCGCTGCGCGCTGCTGGGCCGGCCCGGGCTGTGCCGCCCCGGGCACTGCAGCGCCCGCAGCGCGCCGGGCTGCGGCGGAGCATCAGCACCGCGGACAGCGCGGGGCCCGAGCGGCACCGCGAGGGGACGTGCGCCTGCCTGTGTCCGTGTGTCTGTCCGTGTCTGTCCGTGTATCTGTCCGTGTCTCCGTGTATGTGCTCAGCACCGCGGACAGCGGCGGGCCCGAGAGAGACGGGGAGGGGACGTGTGTCTGAGTCTGTCTGTGCGTCCGTGTGTGTGCTCAGCACCGCGGACAGCGCAGGGCCCGCGCCGGGACCGGGGAGTGCGAGCTGTCTGTGCCTGTGTCTGTGTGTCTGTGTGTCTGTGTGTCTGTGTGCCTGTGTGTCTGTGTCTGTGCATGTTCAGCACCGCGGCAGCGGAGGCGGCCGTGCTGCAGAGCCCTGCGGCTCCGCGCCCCCCGCCCCGGGGCTGCCCCCCCGGACACGGGACTGGGAAGCGATTCCCGACTGGCGAGCGGCGGTGCTCCCTCATTCCAGGACAGGACCGCGGGCAAGCGCAGTTGTGGCTCTGTAGCTCAGAGTGACAAGAGGGAGAAATAAAATTTAAAAAACAAAAAGCAAACAAACAACAACAACAGCAAAAAGCAAATAACATCAGTTCCTGCAATTAATCGGCGCTCGGCACTTCGGCCCCTCTCCGTGGAGCGGTGTTTGTGCAGGGAAGGCGGGGGTTACATAACGCCCAGCCCGCGGGGTCCCCCCGGGCCAGGCCCTGCCCGCAGGGAGCCCCGGCAGCCCCCCGGGGTTCCCGCAGCCGCGCTCCGTGCCCGCGGGCGCCGCTGCGCCGTGACACGGGGACACGGGCCCGCGCCGCCCCCCCTGCCGTCCCCGCGCTGCGGAGCGGTGCGGAGCCGCCGCCTTATGTAACGCGGGCTGCCCCGTCACGGCTGCTGGCCCCGGCTCCCCCGGCGCCGCCGGCGTTGCCTCCGCCCGTCCTTTCCGCTCCCCGGCACCCCAGCCGCCCGAACGCCTCGGTGCGGTCCCAAGTTGGTAACTTCGCTGGGTTTTTTCCTGCGGGGTGAATAAACAAGGGGAGAAAGGGGGATTGGGCTGCGTGTCCAGACACTGCGCTGCGTAGCTGCGTCAAACCGGAGTCGCGGGATCTGCCAGATTTACGTGCTTGGCCTGAATAATTGCTGCTGGTTTCGCTCCCAGCTGAAGAACGGGGGGCGGGTAGGAAATGGGGGGTTGGCCTGCGGCACTACCCGGGGGTGGCAGAGCAGCCCCCGGACCCAGACCCCTTTGCTTCCAGCCCCGGCCGCAGCATCTGCAAGGACATGCCCGTCCCACACCCCCTCCTCGACCTAGCTCTGGGCATGGATCAGCTCCCCCACTGATCAGCACGAGGATGGTGTGGGGCAGCCACCCCTGCGGGCGGCAAGGGGAGGGATGGAGCCATCTGGGAGATGAGTGCTGCGGTGGGAATGGCTGGGGAAGGGACTCTCTCCTGAGCCCCAGCCACCTGCACATCCCACAAAGAAGCCAGTCTAGGAAGAAGCAGCAGTGGTTTTCCATTGCTGCTGCATCGCGCAGAACGGGTCAGCCAGGAGGTGACTGCTGAAGAGTTTGGTTCCTAGGATGGGTGCCAAAAGGATAACAGAGGTGACCAAACCAAAGATGCAGGCAGGCCTGATTGACAAAAGCAAGAGCTTGAGGCTGCCTCTAAAGTAAAGAGGAGTTGCAGAAACTCAGCATGTTACAGTACCAAATGCAGCTAGACAGCAGCCCCCAAATAAATGCAGCTTAACTTTCTTTCCACAGCTAACTAGAAAATGAGAGTGGCATTTCCAAGAGCTCTCGGGACCAGGCTGTGTGTCCATTGATCACATGGGGGCAGTGAAAGAAAGAACAGCAGAATCCAGCCAGCATGAACCCTCAAAATACATCTAATGAGATGCAGCTCCACTTCCCAGATTTATTGCACTGGAGGTGGGAGATGCTTTTCAGGTCAAGGGAAAGCTTTTCATTTTTCTCCCTATACTTTAGGTATGGCAACAAATGGCAAGATGAAAGTGCTGAGGCAAATAAAGCACGGTCTCTGCCTGGTGCTTGCACCGCTTTAACTGCGCGAGGTAACGAAACAAAACACTTTTCCTGTCAGTGGGAACAACTTCAGCGATTTGTACGTCTGTGCGTCACAGGGCTACAGCTGCTGCGTTTGTAGCAACCCTCAGGGAAAAATAGAAAGTATATGGCATGGTGTAGGGCTCAGTTTGCTAATGATTCCTTCTCTCAGGAATGAGGAACAGAAACTGTTTTCCCTTTACCTTGGCTTGTTGTCACACAGTTACTCTTTCTCTTGCATTTTTTTCCCTTAAATCTCTGTCATAACGTTTTATAACATAAGGAGGGTACTTTCATCTGTACATATTTATATGCACACACAAACTCATTTCAGAGATTTCCAGGGTTCTAGGCTGGGTAAAACCACAACAGATGCAGGCTGACTTTGCAGCATTCACTGGGCAGAGTGCATTTTTCTGTCTGTGGAGTTTCATGCCCTGCTACCAATGCAGCTACCTTTGGGCTGGACCAGTGCCAGGCAATCTGCAACAACAGACTTGTTCAAGCATTTCAGAGCTTTAGAGTCTAAGGCAGACAAGAATAATGTGTTACTGGAGAGCTGCTGCAGGATGCACTTCTCAGGCAAATCATGATTACCTCTAGGAAGCTGGGCTTTGGAGCAGGCATAGGGCTCATCCATCTACTGGGAATGCTGGATATAGCTTGTCAAGGCTGTAAGTTGTCATGGAATAGTTTATTTTTTTTAGCTTTTTATTTCTGAACCTCCAACGGTCCGTTTTTCATTAGTTACAATACACTCTGGCTTTCTTGCCTACAGACCTTGCAGATTCAGCTTGCTGCATTGTATTGCAATGAGCACTTTCTCCAAAACACACAAGTTATTTTCCTAGTTCTTGTCTGCCACCCCTTTGTTACTCCCTCCACAAATGCTTAGACACACACAAACTCCCACCAGCAAAATCTGCCTCTTATCTGATCATGATTTTCAATATGCTGTCCCACATCCCACTACATTTTCTAGGCCTTTCCACCAAGCACAAAGGCAAGGCAACTGCACAGGTTCAAAATTGTTCTTTCTTGCTTTGTGATGGCCCCAAGGCTGACATTGCAAGACCCAAAAGTGGATCTGAGTGGCCTTGAGGAAATGTTTGAACCACTTGCCTTGCTATTTTAGGAGGAAATTTAGCTTTGGTCTTGCATCTTTCATCTTGTTCACTTGCTATTTGCTCATCACCTCGTACTCACCTACAATCCTCTTTTAATTCCTGCTAAAGATCACCAGGATGAAAGAAATACATCAGAGGCATTAGGACCCTGATGTGAAGGGTGATGATTGTCACCTTCTGATTTTGATTATTCCAGCAGGTCTAATCCAAAGTCAGTTGGAATCAAAGAAAATACTTCCCTACATCATTTTGTGGGACTTGTAAAAGAATATTTAGCAGTTTAGGTTTTTCAAAGGGAAACAAATTCTGTTGTACGTATTCCCTCTGAAATATACTAGCACTAGTGATTCTAAAGAGAATGTAATTATAACCTTTTCCTTTTTTTTCTTCTTTTCTTTTGTTTTTTTTTTTTTTTTTTTTTAATAATAAGAGACTATCTCTTACTGGAAAAAGCTGAATTTTACTACAGGCACAGGGAGAAGAAGAGGGAAACACTAAGTAATTAATCATGGCTGTTCCTGGCCTTTTAGAGCTGAATGTTAGTGCTGACCCATCTGTGCTCTGTCAGGCTATTTAGGAGATTTTTTATTTTTTCTTTAGAGCTAACAGTGCTCTGTTTCACTTTTTGAATGGGATGTAACTTATTGTCAATTGGTGTGAAGTGGCATAAGCGAGGGCTGTGCTACGCTACAGGCCAATAATCTTTCAAGCTGGGACTCCTTGTTTGTGTTTTAAAACAGAAATGGGTCTATTTGCTGAAGGAGCAGCTCTTCTAAAGAAAGAGCTCATTTCAGATGCTGCCCTCCCGAAGCCCATTCCTGTTTTTCCCCAGCCTGGTCTCACTGCCGCAGACCCTGATGGCCAGGCTGCCTCAGAAGGGCTGCCAGGGAGCAGAGATGAACAGCAGAGCAGAGGAGGAATCCTGCCTGTTACGCCTCTGTTTCAGGCTGGGTTCTGCTGCACTCTGCTGGTACATAACATCAGCAGAACTTGAATGTGGTGTAAAACCCAGGACACAGCTGAGTTTTTCCTGAAGGCACAGTTGTGTGCAGAAAAAGTCAGAAATTCCTAGCTGTAGCCATTAATTGTTCTTTCAAGCTGGGGAGTAGGGTGAATTTTTCCTGCATTCTACTAAGTGCACAGGAAAATTAGGATTCTTCCCTCAAGATTTTAAAAGGCAATATTCTTAATGGCTGAGACATTGTATTCATAGAGTTGCAATATGAAAGAACAGAGGCAAAGCCAAGTCTCCCTGTACAAGTGTCTAAAACTGAACAAGAGGAACTGTTCTTATATGTTTTCACTATAATTATAGTTTTCCTTGTGCTTTTGATATGACCAAGTTTTTGTGCCAGTGTTTACTGGTAGAATCCATGAGTAAAATGAGAGTTATCATGGACTATGGCAGTGCTCATGACTAAAATTTGTATCCTAGACATTACAAAAGGATGTCTCATGTAGGTGATTTGTGAAATAAATGCAAGATTTGCTATTTCTTCCTCAAAACCTACAAATTATCAGAGAGTTGCACATCCAAGGCACTGCAGAGTCCTTGGTAGGGCACGTTTGTAATTCTGCATTGATCTTTTCCATCTCCCACATTTTCTCAGTAGCATTCCCTTGCTAAAAATCCCAGTAAATCTTCAAATACTTTCACTGTCACTTGTCTGTCAAAGAGATTAGAAGTTTAGATTGAAAACTAAAGCTCTGATCATTTCCCAGCTCAGTGTTCATCATGCTGCATTTATTTGTTATACTTACCCTCCACCCAAAGGAGAGGAATTCTGTTCCTGAATTGCAACACAGTCATAGAAGTAGTAATTGTATTTTTCCTTTTGTATAAAACAGTTATTTGGAAGATGTGCCAACCTCTCCTTTGGTTCCTTTTCCCACTCCTGGAAATTATAGCTCCCAGTGGAACTGTGCAGATGCCAGTTCCTTGATCTGTCTTACAGAGGTAAATATATTTCCTCCAGCTACTCTAAAAAACTTCACGAAACAAAAGTATACTTCTTCAAAAGAGCTCATCTGTCAAAATAGTGTTACCATTCACTGATTCCTTTTTTAAACAGGAACAGAAGTCTCCCATGCATATTTAAGCATTTTTTAAAATAAAAGGTACTAAAATTAGCTTCAGTATGCTTTAGATGGAAATTGGAGTTTTCTTTCTCCTCCCTGCGCTAGTATTTCTTGTTCAGCCTGGTCCCATTCACATCCTTCGGCTCCTCAGCATTCACCTCGCAGGGATTCAGCCAAGCTGGCATTTCTGCAGGCATCAGGGAGCTGCTGCTTGGTGCAGCCCAGCACTGCTGCCTGCAGCCTGGGCACAGCCTGGGCACAGCCTGGGCACACACCTGTGTGGGCTCAGGGCTGCCTGTGCCCCTGGCAGCGAGTGCCATGGTGAGGGAGAAATTCCTGTTCCCTGTTTGTTGGGTACACACACAGCTCACAGGGATGGCTCGCTCCTGCAGAAAGCAGCAGGAGGTGATTAATTGGACTGGAGATGTTCAGTAACATCTGAACTTCAGCTAGGGGGGGTTGGGGATTAAAACACCAGGACTGCTTGTGGGATATCTGGATTCAGGTGCAAGTATCACACATTAAATAAATGTAACCTTTGCCAAGTACCTAAATTGCCTCCATCCATAAAAGAAAAAGCTGAGATTAAAACAACTTCCAGTTTACATCCCTTAGCTTCAGATACAGGACAAGTACCCCTTATCATTGAAAAGATATTTTTATTAATATTAGGGTATAGCAGTTTCCACTGCCTGAGGGTGGTGACCTAAACTCAAAATGCAACATTCTCCCAACAAAGGTGGTTGTCATTTACCTAGAATTTGACAGGGTGTTACCCATGATTGTTCCCTTCTGGTTAGTAAAGGGCTTGGCTGGAAGATGCCATATAAATCCAGATTATTGCTATTGCATTCACAATAGCAGGAGAAGAAGGCGCTCTCAGAGCAGAAGGTGGATGAAACATTGATGCATTTGCTCGTGCATTACACAAGACCAGGAGTCTGCCAAAGCCCTGTGTTCCTCCAGAGCTGCACTGAGCTGCACAGGGGAGCGGGACTGAGCCCCCCTCCTCAGCAGCACCGATTCCAAACCAGTAACACGACAGCTGAACACACAGCCCAGCTATG